CCTTGTTGAAAACTGATGGATCATAGATATTTGGGTTTGCTTCCAAACCCTCACTTCTACTTCATTGATCTCGATGTCCATCCTTCTGTTAGTGCCCTAGTGTTTTGAATATTGTATTTATCTTTATAGTAATTTTTGAAATTGGGAAATATGTCTTCCTGTTTACTTTTTTTTGCCCCCAGGATTGTTGTGGAATTCTGGATTCCTTGCATTTCCATATGAAGTTTAGGGTTAGCTTGTTCATTTCTGCAAAGAAAAAATAGGATTTGGAATTTTGATAGAGAATTCTTAAGTTTTCCCTGGTACCTTAACATTCATGTTTCATATTTGAGCCTTGGTTTTATGTTTATTTGTCCTTATATGAGAGTCCTTACTAGCTTTCTTGTGAATGCTGCACCTATTTATTGTCACAGGTCTTTACTGATTGTGGGTGGGGAGAACACAGGACAGTGGCCAGATAGGCCAGATGTACCAGTTGGCAGTCCTCTTTAGTGTGGTTGTCAGTTCTGCAGCCTGAATGTTCACATCCACACGGGGAGCTGTTTTGTCTCTCTGATCCAGGTGTTCATATTTATTGCTCCTTCCTGGAGAGTGCATCCTTGTGTGATTTCTGTGCTAGCCCCTCTCAGTCATGCTGGAACTTTGTTTCATTTTTTTCTGTTGTCTTCCAAGTCTGCACTTATTTTACCTTGAGACCTTCTTCCTACTTCTTTTGGCCTTCTACTCTGGGTGTGTAGGACTGTGATTTTCTACTTTAGTGTGATTTTCCTAGCTTTTTGTCTTCTAGTGGTTCCTCATAGTTCTAGCCTGCTAAGACCATTTTTTTCTTTCAATTATAGATTTTTTCCTTATGATAGCTTCTGGGGGAAGGTGGGTTTGCTTATAGATGTGCTCAGCTACATGTCCATTCAGTCAGTGACTAGATATGCATGTTTATAGTGAAGTAAGCTCAGTGAAAAAAGAAAGAAAAGAAAAGAAAAAGGGGCTAAGGAGATAGGTTGGTGTTGTAAGTGCCTAGCTGGCAAGTGTAAGGACTAGGGTTTGATCCCTGGTACCCCATCCGGAGTTGGCTTTGGATCCCAGTGTTGTACTGGCCTGAAACTGGGTGTGGTGGCCCACACCTATAATCTCAGAGCTGGGGAGGCTGAGACAGGAGGATCACTATGAGTCTGAGCTGCATAGCCCGACCCTGCACCAAATAAATAAAATATTTTTTTCTTTTTGAGATAGAGTTTTAATGTGAAATTCAGGTTGGCCTTGAATTCACTTTGTAGCCCAGGATGGCCTCAAATTTAAAGTGATCTTTCTGCCTCAGCCTCTTGAGTGCTGGGATTACCGGTGTGCATCACCATACCAGGCTTAATTTTTTTTTTAAGTTAGCAAAAATTTGATGAAATCTTTGAAGAAATTGTGTTTTTCATTTTTAAGATTGCTTTTTAAGCAATCACTAATGAAGATTGGCAGTTTGAATGTATATGAATGAAAACTTTAATGAACAAAAGTTCAGATCAGGAATATGTTTATATTTAATTGAAGAGGCATATGTTCCTTTAAAACTAAAATGTAAATATATATGTGTAGAGTTACACTGCTGGGTTGCTGGCTTTACTTTTTTCTGCTATTTAGATGAAAGGATATTTGGGTTTTGAATTCATTGCCCAGCCTGGATAACCTCCACAGAGCCAGTGTTAACCCGTGCTGTGACAGAATCCTGCTGGTTGTTGAGAGAGTTACATACCAAAGATGTTTGATGGAAGTTCTAAAAAAACGTTTGTTTTTTTTTTCGTGTGGTGCTGGAGATCAAATGTGGGCCTTGTGCATGTTGGGCAATCCCTGGCCACAAAAGGATCTTTGATTACAGCTTTGGTTCAGTAGTTTTCAGTGTTACTCCTTCAGTGTTATGTTAAAGTATTTTTAGATTTCACATGGGTTACAAGAAGGGCTAATTACTGCAACCCTAATCATAACTACTGTTAACACTTTGGCATTTTTTTCTCAGGGTTTTTTTTTTTTTTTTGTAGAACTGGAGATTGAACTCAGGCCCTTGCACTTGCCAGGCAAGTGCTTATTCTACTGAGCCATCTCCCTGGCCCCTCTCAGTGTTTTCTAAAATCATACTTTAAACAAATTAAAATAATTATTATTTTTCTTCTAGTCCAAAATTAATGTCTACTCAATGAGAAAGCTTAGAATTAATAAAGATTGTAATGGGAAAAAACAAACAACAAAAAAACACTCATAGATGACCACAATTAAAATTTGATGTATATCTTTCCTGTATTTTTCATGAATATATACTTTTTGTTTACTAAAATGATATACTCTAATACAGTTTTATAACTTGTTCATTTGCAATATATGTGAATGTTTTGTCACGTTAACAGTTGATATACTCTTTAAGTAGCACGTAGAATATGAATGTATTTAAGTATGTTTATTTAACATACTTAACTATCATTGGATGTTGAAAGTGTTTCTGAATTTTTACCATTATAAGTAATACCATAGTTAATTATTTTTGTCCATACATTTTTCCATACATCTATGATTGTTTCTTTAGGAATAGATTCCTAGAAGTGGAATAGCTGGGTCAAAGGGTATGTACATTTTAACGCTTTTGATACATCAAAATGTCAAGTTTTAAGCTAATCACTTGTTATATTCCATCTTATATTGCTGTCTGTTTTATGTGTCTGTCTTGTCTCCCTAAAGTTAACTTCTCCTAAGAAGTTAGGTAAACTTATTGAGGGTGAGGGAAGTTTTTACACACTTTATGTACCCTCTGACAGTACTGCTTCCCTTGCTGGGCTCAGTAGGCATCAGCATATACCATATCGGTTCAAAGCAGTAGTTCTGCCATAAGCCTGACATCAAAAAAGAAAAAAAAAATGCTATATGTAGATATAAGATGGCAAATTTTTTCTTTTTAAAACAGTGTTTTCTATTATATCATGAACTCAATATTTAACAATAAAAAATTATAATCTGTGAAGAAAGGATAGTCTTGGGGCTGGGGAGATGGCTCAGTGGAATAAGTGCTTCTCTGGCGAGCGCAAGGACCTGAGTTCAATCCCCAGTTCCACCAAAAAAAAAAGTTTTAGGGCTGGGGAGATAGCTCAGTGGAATAAGTGCTTGCCTGGCAAGTGCAAGGTCCTGAGTTCGATCCCTGGTACCACCAAAAAAAAAAAAAAAGATAAGATATAATCTGTTAAAAAAAAAAAAAAGGGTAGTCCTTCGAAAATTCTATAGTTTTGAAAAACTCACTATTCATATTTTTCTTATTTTGTGTTGGTCTCAGACTCTTGACCTTATCCTAGCAGTGAACAGTAGGCCCACATTTAGGGTCCACTGATTTAAATAAAACATAAACCCTTTGCAAGATTAATAATTTTCTAAAAAAAGATTAATAATTTTCTTACAAGTCTGTCCCACATTATTAACTGCACATGTGTAAGTATATTATTTCATTACACAAAATTTATGTATCTCCATAAATTGATTGTTTCTCAGACAGAGTTTTACTATGCAGTTAGGGCTGGCCTTGCACTCATTTTGTAGCCGAGGCTGGCCTCGAGCTCACAGCAATCCTCCCTCAGCCTCCCGAGTGCTGGGATTAAAGGTCTGTGCCACCACACTTGCCCTTCCACGTACAAATTCTATAGTAAGGAACCCAGACCTTATTGTTTAACATCTGAATAAATTTCCAAAGGCCATCTTTAAAAACTGTTCTCTTTGTAGGGAATTTAAGTTATGGTGTTTTAGACTCAGAACACCTAGGCTTGAATCCTGGCTCTGGCATTCAATCATTTTATTATTATTATTACTATTATCATCATCATCAGTCACTTTATTATTATTGTTGTTGTTATTAATTTTTTTGTGTGTGCTAAGAATCAAACTCAGGACTTTGCACTTGCCAGGCAGGCACTGTGCTGCTGAGCTATATCACTGGCCCTGTAGTCACTTAATTTTACTTTAGTTCCTTACTTATAAAATGATGTTGATAATAATATTTTCTTCAAAGTGGTTTTGTAGCCCTTATTAAGGCAGTTACATTACTGTAATGTAATTGCTTATGCATCTGCCTTCCTCATCATAGGATGAGCTCCTAAGGATAGGAGTTGTATATTACTTTTGCAACTCTAGGTCCTAGCACAGGCCTCAGGCATAGCAGGTGCTTGATAAAATGACTTGAATCGATGCAGGATTGTTCTTAGAATTATCTGAGTTAATATATGTAGAAGCTCTTAGTAAACTTTTAATGTTATACAAACATGTTTTTATTGTCAGTAAGAGCTATCTTTGGGAGCTAACAATACTTTGGAAGAGAAAAATCACTCCATTTAGTAGTTCCATAAATATATTGCACTTTTCTTCTGTTTTATAAGAAAACAAGTTTTAACTGGGTTAATATGGAGTTAATTTGCTTCCTGGGAAGGCAGATGAACTCCCTTCTCCACCCCATGGAAGTGCCAAGATAGTAAGTAAATGTTTTATTTGGTTGCTGTCATATAATTTTAATTATAATAAGATCAGCTTATTTCATGTTTAAAGACTGATGCCCATTGATTTATAACTAATAAAAGAAGTATACCAAGACTTGAAGAGAACAGGAGCTGGTGTTACATTCAATTAGTTTTGGGTAGAGCTCCTTTTTTGACATTTACTGATGTGGAAACTTCATTGTTTCTTGTGTTTGTAAAGCTCCTGGTGAATGTTTGCCACATGTTGGCACTGGTGATGATGGAGTACACAGACTTTGAACCACAACCATGAAAAAGGTGCACATAATTGTGTTCTTTGGAGATAAGAGTTGAATACCTTCATCACTGCTTATATGTTAAGTTTAACCTCCAAAAGAATGAAATGCTACATTATTTCCTTTCTGTATTCAAGTATTGTTTTGTTTCCTGTTTCTCTGTCTTTATAACTACAATAACTATGTATTATTTGCCATGTGCTATATGTGTCTGACTTATTGCTGATAATTGTGGTAACAGGTAAGAAGAAAATACGATGGGACCCAGTTAGGAGGCGCTTCATTCAGTCCTGTCCCATCATAAGGATCCCTAACAGGTTTTTGAGAGGTGGGTGATAACTAGCAAGAGCTCTGTGCTTCATATGGGTTAAAGGGAACTTTGAATGAATTTCTAAACAATTTCTTGTCTTAATAGCTAAAATTGGTTTTAAAAGTCTAGAACTTAGTTTTATAATGACCATTGTTGGAATTGCAATTTTAAGTTTGGAGAATTTAGAATCTCCTAATGTATATTATTTGGTAGAAATAAATTATCTCACTGATCTCAGTGGTATTTCACTGTAACCACATTCAAAAGAATTTTGAATGATTTAATTTTATAAAATATGAGCAAGGAAAAATTCTTAGGTATTATTTTTAAAAAGAAAAGATTAAGTTATGTGATAATATAAAATTTAAAAATCTCATGTCAGATAACATAAATAAAAAGAAGGAAATACTTGTACAGATGATTAATACCATGAATTTATGAAGAGCTCTTCTTAGAAATCAATAGGTTAAAGTAAATGGTGGCTAGAAAAAATGAGTAAAAGGAAATGAATAATCAATTCACAGAGAAGAATTGCCAGTAAATATAAACAAATATTTATCTTCACTATTGTTATAAACACAAAAATTAAAACATTAAGATATTTTTGCCTATTAGGGTTACAAAGACTAAAAATATTCAGTGATGGCAAGGGTATTGAAAAGTAAAGCTTATATATTGAAGAAAGTGTGAAATTTGTGTACCCTTTGTAGATCCAGTTTAGCAAAATATATCAAATCCTTAAACTGTTTATGTCCTTTGACCTGGCAATTCTTACTTTTAGAGGTGTCACATTCTTAACTTTCTATTTTTCTACCAAAACATATTCCACACTAGAAAAAAAAAAAATCTCAGAAGAGTATTGAAAGCTCTAGTTCAGCCTAATACTGACTGAAAAATGCTGACTTTCATTATTAAGAAATGAAAGGTTAAGGAATGATACAGAATCTAGGTCATGTGCCAAAATACTAATTCTATGTAGAATTAAAATTCTAGGCTCCAAAAATGTATTGCTGGGTGAAACTGGATATAAGATCACAGTTGTCAATGTCCATAATTCAAGTGGAGATAGAATTGTGGCAAGGCAGATGGGATGGCTGGATTAAGCTTCAGTTCTTTCAAAAAGACCTACTCTGAAGACAGCCTCATTAAAGTGACCCTAATTAAATCACATGAAATTTCTGTAAAATAAAATTTACTTAATTTTTGGAAAAAAAAAAAAAAAGAAAGCTCTAATTCACACTATTTTTCGAGATACACCAAACTGTTAAACAGCATGTTTAATGTTGCAACTTGAATTTTATTTTATTAAATTACTTATAAGCTAGCATTCTTTCTTTTCTTTTCTTTTCTTTTTTTTTTGTATTTTAGGGAAGGGTCTACAGGGTGTTCAGGGTCTCGCTACTAAATCAGACTCGTAATGATCCTCCTATTTACAGCCTCCCAAGAGCTGGGGTTGCAGGTGCTCACCACCATGCCCCATCTCAATTGCCAGTCTCAGTGAGCCCCAGGGGTGGCGCTGGCATAGCAGGCCTGGGGATTGAACCACTGGCCCCTGCCCCTGCTTGCATGCACTTTAATCAGCTGAACTATTTGGTCAGTCCAGCATTTCTAATTTTAACTGAAGAAATTCAAACAAAAGCTAGGAAAATGTCCCACAGCTGCTATATAGATGTTTCTATATTTAGTGTCTAGCTGATTTTTAGTAGCCAAGTTTCAGAGCATGAAAAGAATAAAAGGCCTAAATTAATGAAGATAAGATACTTAGGGTTGTTTGCCATCTTTTAGCATAAATAATGTTATTGATAAAAATTAAGGGGTGGGCCAGGCATATTTATAGCTCAGTGGCACAGTACTATGTACAAGGTCCTGAGTTTGATTCCCAGTACCACAAAAAAAAAAAAAAAAAAAAAAAAAAAAAA